ACAGGACTAAAATGCAGCTCGAGTTGGAAAAGCAGTCTAATTGACTTCTTTTTCTGGAAGTTTTACATTTTCAAAGTGTGAACTTGAACTCCCATGGGCCTGAAGCCTTATGCTTGTTACACATTTTACTTACATTGGTATTACCTGTTGAGCATAATTAAAATTTGATGTTGAATTTGCAGTTTAACATAATGTACTTTTACATCAGAATTGACAGTAGCCTATTTTGTTATTTCCTGCTTTTTGTCTGTACATTTGACAGCTTTGCTGCCTTGTTTTGTTTTCCATATGAATGCGCTTATTCCAGCTGGTGGTACATTATCCAGAGTATCCAGAGGTGGTATTGACTCTCTGATCCTCTTGTTACTTTATATTGGTTCCTTATACCTAGATCAATCTAACAGGATCGATCCTTCTCCAAGGGGTTTCTTGTTAAATTGCTATCAGCTTAAGTGGCTTAGATGTTTGGCAGTCCTACTGAAGGTGCTAAAAGATAATTAATTACCCCCTAGCTTTAGTAAGCGTGACAGGCATATAAGCCACTTAAGTTGATTGCAATTTAGTGAGAATCCCCATGGGGATGGATCGATCCACAGTTAGTACAATAGGGACTGGGAATGGTCCCTTAGTTTTTAATTTGTCTTTGTAGTTTCAGTTTTTATATGTAAATGCTGAGGTGCATGTTTGGTGCAGTATTAAGAATTTTTATTATTATTATTACTATTATTATATTTTTTATTATTATTTTTTTTTTTTTATCGTACATCCAGGTGGATGAAGATGTGTATCCAGAGGTGTACAGAAAGTCTTCAGATTACATCAAGGGCTCTAATGAATTTGTACCAGAACCATTCAGGATTGGTACCATTTTGGAAATAATCTGCAAAAAGATGACATGCAGCAAAATTGTAAATGAGCAGAATGTTTTGTTGAAAATTAGGAAGTTCTACAGGTAATACTTAATATTTTGAGCACTTTGTTCTGAGAAATTGTACTTTGCAATGAATTATTCAGTTATTTAAAAAAGTCTTAAGAAATACTAAGTGTATATAACAGAGCTGATATTTAAAAAAAATGAGTAAATTAAAATACGTGAATAACATTTAAAATTCCTTTTTCACAATACAGGCCAGAAAACACTCACAAAGGGGCAACAGGGAGCCATCACACAGATCTGAACATGCTTTATTATTCTAATGAAGGTATGTTGTGTTTAAGGCTCTATTCCCATAGATTTTAGATCGATCTATCCCCGCGGGGAGTCTCACTAGATTACTTTCAGATAATCCGACTTAAATGTCCGTCCCGCCTACTACAAGCTGTAAGGGGGTAATTAACTTTCGTGTCCGCCCGGCTGACAGCTATTAAGCGTGAACCCCCAGGGAGTTAGGTCGATCTAATCTATGGAAATGGGGTGTAACATTACACGGACGGGTAGTTAATATGTGCTTATGGCATCAACAGTCATGATGTTTTTATGTATAGGCAGATGTGTCTGTACATATTGCTGTCACCTGTATCTGTCGGTGTTATTGCCGTCACCATGCACTTTCAGCTTTATACAAAGAAAATAAAAAACGTTTTACCTATTGTCTTCAGAATTACAGAAGTGATGAATAAGTAATCATGAAATACAGGTCAAATTCGAAATTCAACCTGGTTGGACCATTTTTCCAAAAAATTTTTTTTCAACATATTTTATTATTTTATCCACTGTTATTCAAATAAAATGAACACAGATGTCATATTTTGCTTTGAAACTTGCAGGACTGATTCAAAGATCTGATATATAGATCAATTTGGAAAATTAGCTTGATTAGTTTATTTTTGTTGAACTTATGGTGCTTTTTCCCTTTTGGCATTTTTTATTAACCATTGCACAGATAACTAGAAAACCATGTCATATTTTGCTTTAAAACTTGTAGGACTGATTTGTAAGACTAATATACAGAACGAAATAGAAATTAGGCTTGATTGGTTCAGTTTTGATGAAGTCATCCCTGTTTTTTCTATATAGGTGTTTTTTCCTTAGATTCAATTCTAAGGCCTGTTAGCAGCCTCATTATTGAATTAATTAATATTTAAAAGTGTTCTTTTGACATTTTCTGCATCTTGACAATATTGTTAGTTGAATGTGTAAAAATGATGGTGAACCTGTTATTGCGTATTATGTATTAGTGTCAAAATGGGATTAAACTCATATCATTGCTGTTTGACAGATTCAATCATTATGTTCAGAATCTCAGAATGGATAAAATTGTTCTATTGTTCACCTATACAGTATAATATACCCTGAATTATTATGTAATATTGCATCAAAATTGACACAAAACTTGGACTTGGCACCAAATGATTCTGAATTCACCGGTAGTTACCGTTTACCATTTTCAAGGTGTGTATCAGTACGCACTCAGAAGTATCAGACGCGACACCGCTCCTGCCTAGTAAGTAATTTGATAGTGATGATTCTCAGCAGGGTCGGAAAGTGGTGCAATGCATCTCAAAATTTGTTCCGGGGTATGATACTATGAAATGCGTACTGATGCACACCTTGAAAGTGGGTAGTGTGGTCCGATCGGGATCATTTGGTGTCAAATCTGGTACAGTGGTAGTTGGGTAGGCCTGGTATTTATGTGACTGCACATTTTCATGACATGAAGACACCAGATAAACATTGCTGACAAAATTTTTTAAGCCGACAAATATCAAGTTTTTACTGTACTATTGTTATATTTAATTACAGACCACTGCTTCTGGGATGGCAGAGCCTTATGAAGGGCCAGTGGGCTAAAAGGTTTTGGCACAGCTTTCTTTTAAACTCATATTTGACTTAATGCAGTTTCATTTGTGAGTTAATTCATTTCATTCAATTGATCCTTCCAGAGGTCATTGTCGATTTCCAGTTGGTCAAGGGAAAGTGCATGGTGGTTTTTAGTGATGATATGAACATCAGCGTTGATGAATATTTTAGTGAAGGACCAGATAGGTTCTACTTCTCAGAGGTCAGTGTGCACTTGTTGATTGATTTGTGTATGCTTGGAGCACAGCTAGTGTATGTGTGTAGATATTGTTGCGTGTTTGTATGTTTAGACATATTTCACAGCCAGAATTTTTTATACAAACCACAAAAAATGAATACAATTTAACTTTAACTTGCCGCACCTTAAAGTATTATAAGTTACCTCACACTGTATATCATCCACAATTTAACTGCACTTGCCATACAAATGAACTGGCAGCTCACTTGTAAATTACTTGGACAATAAACATGCTCATTCTGCTGTTAACAATGCAAAGACCCAATCCAAATATGGCTTAGACCAGATCCCAATCAGGAAGTGATCTAGTCCTGTTAGTAGCTGGACTAGATTGGGATCTGGCCTGTGACATTAACAAAAAAAAAAAAAAAGAATAATAATAGTTTTACTAAATATCTATGTTTGTGTTATAAGTGATTGGTTATGTCCAGGTTAGAGATAGCACATTAGCAGAGCTTTTAGATCAATTTATCCCTGCGGGGAGTCTCACTAGATTACTGTCAGATAATCCGGCTTAAATGTCCGTCCAGCCTACTACAAGCTGTAAGGGGGTAATTAACTTTCGTGTCCGCTCGGCTGACAGCTATTTAGCGTGAACCCCCAGGGAGTTAGGTCTATCTAAAGTAGATCGATCTAATCTCTGGAAATGGGGTCTAAATTATCTTTCTTCTTCAGGCTTACAACTCTGAAACTAAAGAGTTTGAAGAACCTCCAAGTAAAGTAAGGAGATCCACAGCAAAAGGGAAGGTACATACATATATCATGTCACATTTGTAATATACTAGATTATTGGACAAGACAGACTTTTTCGGCTGAAGTCAGAATGAACTTGTATCCTCTTGACAGCTACTTCATATTGCATCCCTTTGAAAGGAATCTCTTGGTTTTGTCTAGGGTAAAGGTAAAGGGAAACACAAAGCAAAAGCTCAAGAAGAAGTTGACAAAGAAAAGCAACACATGCCACAGATTAGACGTCTTAGAAGTCTAGATGTCTTTGCTGGCTGTGGAGGTGAGTGGGAAATTGTATGCTTGTAAGTTTATTTATTGGCCTAATTTGACCAAGCATGAATTCGCAGTCTAAAGATGGGGTGTGTTCATTGATGGCTCTTTATATTGCAGTGCATAGTTCAGTACGTGTTGACAGCTGTTCAGGTCCACGTATGCATATACTTATACGTATATAGGCTATAAATGTATTTTTCAAAGGGTATGTAGTTTTTCAGAGTTGTAGCAATACTAAGCACGTGGTGTATCTGTTGCATTCGCTGTCCGTAATGTTCGACGCAATCCTTTAGTAATTGAATATTTTTATAAGATCTTAGTAACACTCACCTCCCTCATAACGTGGTGTCCCGATCAACGAGTAATGAAAAAACTTTAAAAAAGAACCACGCAGAAAAATTTGAGTCCTCTTCTCTTTCTTAGCTTCTTCTTCCGCAGTTCATAGTGGATTTATAACAATTTCGGTGGCAAAGTATACAGACTTACTGCCTGTTGCAGATGGTTTACTCAGAGCTCACACACAGTCCTCGTCACTCACCACCATCTTGTTCTCTCAACCCAATTATGTTGTTTTAACATTGAAACAACGTTGAACCATAATGTTGATAATTAGTTGGATAAACATTGGATTTGAAAGTTGACTTAACTTCAGATATCAACATTGTATCAACCCCAGTTGTTAGACAACATTCTTGCATGAAAAGACATCAAAATGACCTGAAATGTTTTTATTTTTGGTACAAAACACAGGTACACAATTATAACGTACACTGTAAAAACATCCAAGTGCCTGCTTTGTCTGATTTTTTTAATGCATTTAGCTCCTAAGCATGTTTTGCACCTAAGCATGGTACACCCTTTAAGCCTGGATGTGTTTAGCTGTAGGCCATGTTTGATGGCTAAATATATGTAGGGTATATATGTATGGCCTGTAAGTAAATTTTTTCAAGGTTTAGATTAATATATATAACAAAGTCACAGTCACCTCAACCTGTCATCTATAACAGGGTACGGAAAACTGTCAACTTTATTAACTTACTCCATCACATTTACAGCAACTTATTCATCCTAGTGTTAGCAGATCTTGCAAGGAATTCAGTTAATTGGAATGTATTTCTGAATAACAAGTTAAGAATATTAACTAGTTCACTAAAGACACAAAACAACTGTCACTTTTACTTTAAAACACTTATTTTATTATTTTGATTAAGTTAGTTACAGTATTGATAAACAAAGTATCACGTTTTCAATAATTTTAATTAGTACCACCAGCGTGTACGCTGGCGGTACTCATGGTTTTAGTCCCGACCCGTCTCGTCCGGCTCCGTAAGCTCCGCCGGCTCCGCGTACTGGCGCCGGATACAAGTCACCGTTACCGCTTCTCCTCCTAGACCGCAAGGACCCCTGTCCCCATCTCTTGGATTTAGGTCACATATGACCTCAACTTGAACCCCCAGGTTTTTTTGTCCCAGTCGGTACATTGACCTGGGCGTGACGCTCCTTGAAATGCACCCTTGTCAAAATTTTTGAAAATTCAATGCCAATTATCTACCCTACGGAAGGAATTATGGGAAAATTTTCTACAGACGGCTTTCNTTTTTTTTTCACTTTTCAGCATATATGCAACACTGTAAACACATTTCAAGAAAAACCGATAGGCTTGTTGTCATGAAACTCACAGGAGTAATTGATCTTACTAAAACGCAAGTCAAGTTCGAAATCGGCATGCAGCCTGAGTTGGAAAAGCAGTCTAATTGGCTTCTTTTTCTGGAAGTTATACATGTTCAAAGTGTGAACTTGAACTCCCATGGGCCTGAAGCCTTATGCTTGTTACACATTTTACTTACATTGGTATTACCTGTTGAGCATAATTAAAATTTGATGTTAAATTTGCAGTTTAACATAATGTACTTTTGCATCAGAATTGACATTAGCCTATTTTGTACATAGTTATTTCCTGCTTTTTGTCTGTACATTTGACAGCTTTGCTGCCTTGTTTATTGTTTTCCAGACTATTTTAACGGCTGAATAGTACAGTGCAGCATTGATGAAACTTGGCCCAGAATGTCTCAAATTATACCCTTAATTTTCGTTTTGCAATAAGATTACTTTAGCAAGGTAGGTTTAAAGCGTGAAATGATTTTGGGTATCCTTTGTCAGGTCTGTCGGAAGGTTTTCATGAAGCCGGTATTGCAGAATGTCGCTGGGCAATAGAGAAAGAAGAACCAGCAGCCAGTGCATTTAAACTGAACAATCCAGGAAGTACTGTGTTCACTGATGACTGCAACATGCTGCTTCGGTTGGTCATGGACGTGAGTAATAATATTTCACCTAACGAAATAAACATATCATCATATGTAGCATATTGATGCCAGTCTTTTGTGTTAGTATTTGTTCATAGTGACCACCAGACTGGCATCAGCTATGGTACGTCTCAGGTCATGCCTTCACAGGTCAAATAATATTGTATAAGTCATAATTGTGTGCATATTTATTTGGTGTACTGTTCAAAGATTACACACTGAATTTAGCATTAAAAATACATAGACTGTGATAATTACAGGGTTAACGTTGCTAAATAATTGTAAGCCTAATGTGGTGACTGGCCTTATTCCCCAGTCGACTCGGTTGGCACTTCCATTTGGAGTACTTATGGTAATATGCCAAACAGTTCGACCAGTGCAATCAATTCAACAAAAAAATTTAATTTTCTAAAATAATTTTTTCTGAGCTCAAACATTTAGACCAAATGTCAAAATCATGCAGTGCATTTTTTTTTCTTGTTCCAATTGTTCGACCATATCGTCGGTAAGACTCCATTCATTTACAAGCCAGTGAAATAGATACTGCTTGCCTTGGCCCTCAATGAGGAAGAAACAATTAATTGAAGATCTCATCTGGACATGTGACGTACCTGTCATTTCTTTTGTGCCCGATGACAATAATAATGCTTATAGATATACACTTTGTGGTAATTTAGCAGACTTGCCTCCGCTGACAGATTTGTCGGGCCCGTAGGCCCGTAACTGGGGGTGGGGGGAACATTTTGAAGAGTAAAAAAGGTCTGCTCTTCGTCAAACCAAATATTGACAGCGGGTTGGATATGTAGTATCACAACTTCAATATTGCTATATTTTCATCAATTCAACCAAAATGACGTTTCTTTGAAATTAATTCATTTATCTTGGTCATACTGTTTGGCATATTACAGTATGTAAACAGTATGTCTCCCATGGCGACTTTTGTCCACTAGCTTAATTGGCACGCACAGTGGGCTGTTATTAGTGGCACTAGCTAGCTAGCTACAGGCTACACCCGTGTCCCCTGTCATCTGTTATTTCATTTAAATTGGTTGTGTAGCATGGTCAACAATTTACCTTGTCTCTTTTTATTTCAAAAATTTATTGCACAATTTTTACACGAAATAGGATAAATATACAAATTAATGCAAAAAACATTCGGGCCGGCAATATCTTGTCCGGGCCTGCAATATTCAGATCTAAGCAGGCCAATTGGCCTGCATTGCCCTCAGAGTTTTCAGCATGTCTGTTGTCCACCAGCTGGCAGTACACATGGTTTTAGTCCACAGGTGTCTTGTCCCCTGGCTCCGCCATCTTGTCACTGTTACCGCTTCTCCTCCTAGACTACAAAGGCCAATCGTATGTACCCATCTCTTGGACTTAGGTCGCATATAATCTCGAATTTATCCACCTAAATTTTGGGCTCAGTTGGTGCACTGGTCCAGGTGTGGCTGTTGTGGCAATGCACCCTTGTCCAAAATTTGCAAAATTAAATGCTTAATATCTGGGATGTCCCTTTTTTTCCATACTAATGCCCTTACCCCAGCTTGTGGTACAGTACCTGGAGGCGGTATAGCATCTCTTATTGTCTAGTTTATACTTTATCTTACTTAATCCAATAAACAACACAGGCACACCCTTACGTATTGACATGATTGTCAGTGCCAATCATTATACTGGCACTGCCATGCATAGATCGTGTTTCATGTGTCAAATAAATAGCTATAATGGGGGAAGAACCATTGGGATCAAAATGTTTGAAGTTTAATTGTTTGACTGAATTATTTAATCTATATAGGCTAAATAACTTATTTGTGTAAATGAATTGATAGGGGAAAACTACCAATGCTACTGGACAGAAACTTCCCTTGAAAGGTGATGTGGAACTGCTATGTGGAGGCCCACCATGTCAGGGATTCAGTGGAATGAATAGGTTCAACTCGAGGGAGTACTCCATGTTTAAGGTAAGAAGCCTGATCATTGTTTTTATTGCTTCCATGTGATAAGAATTCAATAAATTTATGAGATGGGAAGAAAACTGTTAAAGGTAGTTTTGTACTAAACTGCACTCTAGTGGATATTCTTTGCTGGCAGTCACATGACAACAGTGTACACCAAGAAGAAATCTATTAGAAAAAGATGAATCATTAGCATCCAGTGTGTGATTAAAATTTATTTCAGAATTTGTTTAGATATGTTGATATTTATAAGTTGTTTATTTCAGAACTCCCTGATAGCATCCTACCTTAGCTACTGTGACTACTACAGACCAAGGTTTTTCCTTCTAGAAAATGTGCGGAACTTCGTGTCCTTCAAACGTAGTATGGTACTTAAACTGGCCCTGCGTTGTCTTCTCAGGATGGGGTATCAGTGCACATTTGGGGTTCTACAGGCAGGAAGCTATGGTGTGGCACAGACGAGGCGGAGGTATGTTGGGTTTATTTAGCATAATTAATGGTAACAACATAAGTGCATAACGCCACTGCCATCTGTGGATGCTCATTCAAATAAATGTGTTCTAACAATAGGGCATACACAGTGGGTGAGCAAAAAGTGCTCAACACGGGAGTATTTATAAACCATCAAAATAATCTGTGAAGGCAAATTCTGAGTTGGGGAACATGATTCTTCATTAGTAATTATGGGGTTAATATATAAATAGGGAGGCTTAAAACATTACTAATTTCAAAGTTCAATAATTCTGTCTAAATTAATTGATACTGTTTGCCTTTTGAGGTTGGGGAAATTGTTTCTTCCTCATAATTCTCACCAAGAACATGGTGCACGAACTTTTCACTTCTCATTTTGACTGACCAAGATTATTGGGGTGGTTGATTATCTCCATTATTGAAGTCTAGCTTGACTGTAAACTGTTAGCTAACATGGTAACTAAACTCACTTTGAGACATACCAATCACAGGAGTAACATCTGCAATGAATTATTCAACACCTAAGACATAAGAAAAGGCACAAGACACACTTAAGTGCCTTAAATTGTTCTTGATAAAATTCGAGGTATGCAGTTTTGGCTGCTTTTTTTCAGTATTGTCAAGTTCAGACCTTATTAATTGTTGTAGTAATAGATCATTGTCAGATTTATGTTCAGTAAACACCTGTTACTGAAAATTTTTGAGATTTACCCTACCTTATTCGAGACTTTACCAAAGGCATGGGGACTGCCTAACATGCATGACAGTTTTGTCTCAGTCCAATAAAAAATCCTATATCGTCGTTCCATATGTCTGGCGAGTTTTCAAGCTGACTCGGAATGTTTAAATATAAAGAATAAATAATAGACAACTTGTTATGTAAATAATTTTTTTCTAATCTTTCTTTAAATTTTTTTACTAAGTGTAAGATATATATCAAAAACATTCAATGATAGGTTTAATATGTATGAATGAAAACATTAAAAATACACCTGAAAACATAAATAATTTGTCGTGTTTTTATTATTTGTGCCAGCAGCACAGCACTGGCAATGCAAATGGTTTTAGTCCCCATTTGTTTTTTCCGCCATATCCGCCACCAGATTACAAGAGCCTATATCCCCATCTCTTGGATTAAGGTCACACATTATCTCAACTTTTTCCAAGCAAATGATCTTACACGATCTTAATCATTACAGCAATAGTCTTAAAATGGAACGAGTCTGCTTTTAAGCATCTACTTAAGTGGTCAGGACACCTTTGCTCACACTAGGAGAACGTGTGAGGGGAGCCAATTGCAAAACAACTTAATTGGACGTCAGTCCAGTAATGGTCTTAGTCATGGTTTAAGACCATGTAAAATTATTTGTGATCTTAAATTTCACTTTAAGACTGGGTTCCCATACATAGATTGAACCATCTGGATCGATCTAACTCCCTAAATTTCACTTTAAGACTGGGTTCCCATACATAGATCAAACCATCTGGATCGATCTAACTCCCTATGGAGTCTTGCTAAATTGTTATAAACTGACCAGCTAAAATGTCTGTCATGCCTACTAAATCAGCTAGGGTGTAAAGATAATTACCCCCTAACAGCTTTACTAGGCATGACAGACATTTAAGCTGGCCAAGTTGACAGCAATTTAGTGAGACTCCCCAGGGAGATAGATCAATCCAAATATCTGTGCGAATGGTCCCTAAGACCAAATCAAGTGCACAGGTGGACTCTGTCGTTGCACTTGTCAAGGCGTGGTCATTGTCGCAGTGCTCCTTGTCCAAAATTTGAAAAATTAAGTGCTAAATATCTTCTAAACCAAAGGAATTGTGGGAAAGAATTATTGCAGATGGCTGAGTGGAAGTCATGTGGAGATTTCAAATATGCTCTTGGATTTGATCGACCTTTGACCTTCATTTAAAGTTCCAAAATTGCTAAAAATGGGAATTTTTTGCTAAAGAATTTTGTGTGCCAATTTTCAAAAACTACACAGACCTAACTTATAATATTATGGGCAGGTGTTACACTTTTTTTTTCAATATAAATGTACTTACTCTAGTCTAATAGTACCTAGAGGTGGTATCGCCTCTCTGATCCTCTAGTTAAAACATTTATTTCCTTAAATATGTCATTTCATTGCAATATCTTCAAAACTGTTAATGTCATTGCACTTTGAAATTAAAAACATTTGTAGCTGAACACTACACACTTACACACACACACACAAAGAATGCACACACAGGGTCGAAATCAGTTCTGTCATATAAGACATTACTCCTTTGCTTCATTAGAAGGGCCTTTTTTCATAGGATAATTTTAAAGATATTTGTATTTAGAAGGTATTTTTATGGATACAGCTGCAAATGTTCTGTTAAAACTTTCAAAGGGATAATAACTCTTCATTTTGGTCAAAAAATGAATTTTCCTGGAGTAAACAACAATTTTCCCATACTTAACCATGGTTTATGAATCCAATTTTACATTCAAAGTTAGTCCCTGTTTTTTTTTTCTAAAAAGTTTGGTTTTTTGTTAAAATCTCTTAAGAGATTATAACAGAGTATAGCCATCAATGGAGATCATGTGGTCTAAAGACAAGCTCACATATCAGAAAAATATCTATAACTGCCATTTTTGTGGCAAAACAGAATATATTATATTTCTATGATTTGTTCACAATGTTTTTATTGTGAAATCTAGATCTCATACGAAGAGTTATTATCCTTTTAATATAGGTACAGCAAAACAACATATTTGATTCATTTATGTTCTTTTCAAAGAGCCATTATACTAGCAGCTGCCCCAGGAGAGAAACTTCCTTTTTACCCAGAACCATTACATGTTTTTGCACCAAGAGCCATGCAATTGTCTGTTGTAGTGGATAATAGAAAGGTAGGGCAAATTCATATGTCTAAGATAAAGTTATAGTTTATTTAATGAATGGGATTTCCTTTGTTTCTTGAACATGAGTGCCTAACAATGCTTGTTTTATAGTCTAGTTGCCAAAATGCTGACACTTTGTCTTCCTGTGAACATTTAGTTCATGGAAATGCATTCCTAATGGCCAAAGAAACCAAAATTAAAATGATAGGTATTTTCGAGACTTAAAACATTTAATGTACAGACTTTTTCAGGGTCATTTGAGTCATTCTTGTGAATCGTGTACCCTGGACCCCCAGCCAATTTTCCTACTTTTTCAGTGAGGACTGGTCTCATCCCTGGAATTTTGAATGTCAGGAAAAGATAATATACGGCTTAGCCACTGACAGACAACTTTTGGTCAAAAATGACAGAATTCCATGAAATTCAAACATTTGGAATTTCTTAGCATCTCCCATTTCATGAATTTCGTCCAAAACTGTCTTCGTTTTTTCAATTAATTTCTTGTGTACAGAATGCATAGCAGATTACTGTAACTTTAAAATTAGTAAAGATAGACCCATAGTTACTGTTGGACTTGAAGTAGGAAGCCGTATACTTGCAATCTGTGACCTCAAAATTGACCTTTGACCTACTTTTCACCATGAACTGAACAGAGATACACCCATAGTTACTACTGAACTTCAATGGGAACTTGTATGTTGACAGGCCTCCCAAGACCTTGAATTTGACCTTCGCACTTTACAAATTCGGATTTGAACTTTTTACTTTTCCTAATGATTTTGTGATAAATTTAAATTTTGAACAAAAATATTGAGAACTCTTGTTTTCTGCATTTTGTAGAACTTGTCAAGCACAGCACTTGAGGTGGCGTCCCTTTTTTTTTTTCCCCATATGAACTACTTATTCCAGCTGGTGGTACAATACCTGGAAGTGGTGTTGCCTCTCTAATCCTCTAGTTTTCACCTGTTGAAATGCCTGGAAAGGTATAATCCACGTTGAGAGCAGCAATCACTCAGTAACAGCTCCAGACAAAAGTAGCAAGTTTGATGTAGTTACTAGTACCACCAGTACGCTGGCGGTGCTCTTGGTTTTAATCCCGACCCATCTCATACGGCTCTGCGGGTCTAGCAGGGTGGTGTGGGATATAAGTCACTGTTACTGCTTCTCCTGGACCGCAAGGGCCTGTGTCCCATTGCTTGGATTTAGGTCACATATTATCTCAAATTTAACCCCGTTTTTTGTCTAAGTGGGTGCATTCGCATGGGCGTGATGCTCGTTGAAACACACCCTTGTCAAAATTTTTTTTAATTCAATGCTAAAAATCTCCCAAACCAAAGGAATTATGAGAAAAATTACTGTAGAAGTCTCAATTTTCAGAAGCTACACAGACCTGAGCTCTAATATTACAGTGAGGGGTTACAACTAAGGATTCCAATTCTGAAATGCTAGAGACGTTTTGTTTTTTGCATTTTGTAGAGCTTGTCAAGCGCAATACTGAGAGTGGTGTCCGTTGTTTTCGATGCGGTTAAGGAGTTGCGCTATATAAAAAAATAAAGAGTTGCAATATTCAGTGGTGTAAATAAAATGTGAAATACTCCAAAATAAACATACCCGCATAATTACTATTGAACTTGAATAGGAAATCATATATTGGCAATCTAACAGTGGCCTTAAAATTGACTTTTGACCTACTTTTCATGATAAACTACACTTTGCAAGTTTTCTGTCCCTTATGTTTCCAAAGCTGACAGAGATATTCCCATAGCTACTATTGAACTTGAATATGAAGTCATATACTGACAGTCTAACAGTGACTTTGAAATTGACCTTTGACCTACCCTGTCCCTATTCATGGGTGGCTGGTGATGGCTGATGTTGATAGCCTCTCGTACGTGATGTCAGATGACTCAGATTCAAGGATCTTGGTTAAATTCCAGTCAATACTGTGGCTTGTGTCTTTTTATAAGAGGGTTCTTGCTGCTATACCACCTTGCGGTCAGTGAGTGTCAACATCTACTCACATCAGTCTGATGAAGGCCTTTGCCCAGGTTGGCCGTAAGCTACCAGTATGAAAATATTTCGGCTTGTGTTTGATAATTTTCACTTATGATCCAAGCTAATGAATATTTTTGCTCATTTACAAATTTTGATTTTATCTGTTACTTTTCCCCATGATTTTGTTATAAACTGTTATTTTCAACAAAAAAAAAGAAAAAAAATTTAAACTATTGTGTACTGCATTTTGTAGAACTTGTCAAGCACAACACTGGGAGTGGTGTCCCTGAAAATCTTGAATATAAAGGTGGACTTTGGTGTATTTTAGGTTAGTTGGAACAGATTTTTTAAACATTTTATGTGGCACATTATTGTCTTGTTTAAATTTGTCTTTTATATTAAAAAAAAAAACATCTTTTCAGTATCAGTCCAACATCAGTTGGACCACTTCTGCCCCCTTCAGGACCATAACTGTGCGGGACACTATGTCAGATCTGCCTACTATTCATAATGGAGCTAAAGGGGAAGAGATCTCATATGGAGGAGATCCATTGTCCCATTTCCAGAAAATGGTAAAGACATTTTAACAAACTCAAAGATTTTTAGAGATAGTTTGAAAGATTGCTGGATATTGAACTTTTTTTTTTTTTAAGAAATGAAGTGAAGACAGATGAGTCAATGTTGAAATTGATCCATATAAGACAGTAGACATTTGCAAAACTGACAGGTGATGTACTAGAAGCCATGAGGTTCCCTGTTCTCAAGGATGATATTAATAAGGATTTGTGTGCACTGCTTTTCAGATTCGTGGTAATCAGTATCAGCCTATCTTACGTGACCACATTTGTAAAGAAATGAGCCCATTGGTGTATGCACGCATGAAGCACATTCCACTTGCACCAGGATCTGACTGGAGGGAGCTGCCTAACATCATAGTTCGCTTGTCTGATGGATCCCATACGAAAAAGCTGTGAGTATATAGTCAGTGCCGTATACAATTCAGTTTACTGTCCACGGCCTCCAGTATCTGGATAAAATATGATGTAAAAAGCAAAAGTAACGGCTCCGTACTGCTACAGTTGTCAGAATAATACGTAAAAAACTTTCACCTTATAGTGTCACAGTAAAAGACGTTAAACGAACGAATATACATATACGGTAAAGTCTTGAAAATTTCATCGCTTAAAAATTAATTAATATTTTTAATTGTGTAAATCCGACTAATTTTTCAAAATTACCTCTCCCCGACTCCTGGGTATGACGAAATTTTCAAAAATCCGGCCTTTGGGCTTTTATCCTTAGCGACGTTATCTTTGACCTTCCTATATGGTGGGATATTTATTACTACTTCCTAAGTCATTTTCTGGTGGTAAATAATAATCTATTTATCAGTGCATCTCGATTAAGTTATATTGAACTTACTGTACCCGAAAACATGTTGAGAATTATTTTCTCGGTAAGAAACATACCTCCTGATAAGTAATAGAGGAGAAGGATCAAGATAAGCCTAATTGCAACCTTGCATCATAACCTGGACGTGACATGTTTAAAAAAAATTACGCACTTGGGAACGTTTGTTGCATGCAGGGCTTTTCCCAGGATTGAGTGTCAGGCCTTCTAAAATTACATCTGTAACTTCCTAAAAATTTACAGGAAGTTAAAATAATGATCTCCCGTTGACGATCTTCCGCAATTTAAGTTCCTTGAACTAATATGAAAACTCATTTTTTTATTGCTTACATCGTAAACAATCTCCCAATGAAGATGTGAAAATTGCCTTTACGTCTAGCAAGGATCGCGAACGATCTCCCGCTGACGATCTTCCGCGAACGAAGTTCCCTAAATCCCTTGAACTAATATGAAAATTGCATTTCATTCTTGCTTACATCGCGGACGATCTCCCAATGATGATATGAAAATTGCCTTTTCGTCTCGCTCGGATCGTGAACGATCTCCCTCTGACGATTTTACGCGAACAAAGTCCTGACGATAGTACGAAAACGATTCTCCGCCGAAGATATGCCGTGAGCGGGGAAGGGGGGGTTAAAGATAAAACTAAATATACATATTATTTATAATATTCAAAGGGGGAGACGGGTTTAAAATAATGATCTCCCGCTGACGATCGTTCGCAAACTAAGTTCCTTGAACTAATATGAAAACTGCATTTTATTATTGCTTACATCGCGAACAATCTCCCGATGAAGATATGAAAATTGCCTTTACGTCAAGCTAGGATCGCGAACGATCTCCCTCTGATATGATCTTAGGCGCACAAAGTCCTGAGGATATTACGCGAACGATTGTCCGCCGAAGATATACCGTGAGCGGGGGAAGGGGGCGGATTAAAGATCAAATGAAAATGAATATTTTTTAAAAATCCAAAGTGTGTGTG